AGGAGGTATATTTTTCTTTTTTTCTCGAGTATCTCAGTACTGCAATGCGTTTGGATTCTCCCGAACAAGGTTCTAAGATAGCATTTTTGTTTGTGTGGATGATTACTTTTAAAATTTAGGACCTGATTCGTATGCATTGTGTTGTGGTAGACCGTTGTCTCCAGTTTTCTTGACGGCGTTCTGATAATTAGGATGTCCAAAAATGCCAGNTTATCCTTCTCCGTCTCCATTGAGAACTTGATACCATTGAGAATGTTGTTGATGACGTTATGTGTTCTTGCTAGTTCCGAGTTCTTCAAGATGATGAATGTGTCATCAACGTATCGGAGCCAAAGTTTTGGAATGATTCTTAGTAGTACTTCCTTCTCCAGTTTCTGCATCACGGAAAATTCTGGTCAAAAGAGAAGTAAGAAATGTAAATTGTGCCAAACGCTACTTTATAAACAGTGGTACCAATCATCGATGTCAGTGCAAGATTTATACGATCTAATTACCAACTCTATCGTTGAACGTCAAAAGGATGAGACGCGGGGGTTCGGTCTAGAGAATATCCTTTTTCGCTTTCTTGCAATGCGCATTCATGAATTTCGGCGATTTAAATAATGTGCAACTGGTGAATCGCATCAGTTTAGAAAACCAGAACGATGTCGCAGATCAACACAATGCAATCTGGGCAGCGTTGAACAGCGAGAGCTTAGCAAAGAAAATAGCAGGCAGATTTAATCAACTACAGTAGGAATCCGTATGCATCGTATGCATCCAGCCTAACGAGACCTAGACGTTGACAGTCCAAGGGGCTTGGAAAAATCATTTAAATACAGCAGCTTAGATAGGCAATCTAATCAGTTTGTATCGGTTCTCTTCAATCCTAGCAATAAAATGTGAGGGGATTACAATATTCCTTGACAGAGTAATTCTTCCATTCAAGCCTTCAATCCTTATCTTTTGGTCCGATACCTGTATTTGTATGTACTTCACACACGCCTGAGTTCAGACCGTGTGCCAAACAGATCATTATACAATATTCTTTATGGAAAGAAGAAAATTCCATAATTTCATTGTGGGTGGGATAATGCCAGATTGCCCAGGACAAGGCAGGTGCATTTTCTTGAGGGCATCCACTATCGGAGTCTTCGGTTAGCCAAAGCCTGACCTGCAAAGCAATGCGGGGCGGTGTGGGAAAACCGTTCATCGGATCATACGTCCTTCGGACGGGATCAAACGTCCAAGTAGTGCAATATGCTTCGTTACTCAATCGAGCCGGTGACCATGACCACGACCAGAAAGGTGTGTGTGTGTGTGTGTGTGTGTGGTGGGGGGGCAGATATGGTTCTTACGCCTCTTCTTGGTTGATTTGAAATCAGGGTATTTAGCCAATTCCCCTAAGTGAACTACCGATGATTCACCGATCCGTTTATAGCACCGGATATTGGCTTGTGGTGGGAAAACCCCTCCGCCGTCGCCACGAGAAGGCAATAAGTAGGGCTTCCTCAGCAGAGG